CGGTCTCATTTTTGCCTCAGTCATCATCAAACGTGGTCAGGATATTTGTCTAGGTGATAGCTTAAATGAGTTGGAACATGGGTCATCTCGGATGTATAACTAGGTCACAGGAGCTAAAAATAGAAAAACCTTGTTTACACTCTAGCGGTCACATTTTTGCCTCAATCATCATCAAACTTGGTCAGGATGCTTGTCTAGGTGATATCTGATATGAGTTCGGACATGGGTCATCTCAGATAAAAAACAAGGTCACAGGAGGTAAAAATAGAAAAACCTTGTTAACACCATAGCGGTCACATTTTTGCCTCAATCATCATCAAACTTGGTCAGGATGTTTATCTAATTGATAGCTCGGATGAGTTTGAACATAGGTCAACTCGGATGAAAAACTAGGTCACAGGAGCTAAAAATAGAAAAAAACCATGTTAATATCTAGCGGTCCGATTTTTGCCTTAATAAGCACCAAACTTGGTCAGGATCCTTGTCTAGGTAATAGCTTGGATGAGTTCGAACATGGGTCATCTCGGATGAAAAACTAGGTCACACCGCCCAAATATGGAAAAACCTTGTTTACAATCTAGTGGTCACATTTTTTTTTTACTCAATTATCATCAAACTTGGTCAGGCTGCTTGTCTAGGTTATTGCTCGAATAAGTTTGAACATAGTTATCTCGCATGAAAACTAGGTCACCGGACCTAAAAATAGAAAAATCTTGTTAACACTCTAGTGGCTACTGTTTTGATCAAATTATCCTGGAAATTGGTCTGAAAGTTTGTTTTGATGATTTCTAGGTCAAGTTCGAATATTGGTCACCTGGGTAAAAAACTAGGTCACACTGCTCAAATATGGATAATCCTAGTTAACACTCTAGTGGTCACATTTTTGACTCACCTGTCATGAAACTTGGTCAGAATGCTTGTCTAGGTAATTGTTCGGATGAGTTCGATGGGTCAGGTGAGCGATCTAGGGCCATCATGGCCCTCTTGTTTAGAATAGGAAAGAGGAAAAGTCGCAGGGTGCCACGTTTGGAGAATACCAAGGATGTACAGTAGTTCATTTGTGTGCAGGAGTAGTGTCATGCATAAAATACAAGTCAAAGGACAAACATTATTGAAGAAACTTCTTTTTTTAATTTTCTTAACACGACCTGTCTAAAATACTGGTATATGGATGTGACAAATTAGCCTTTGAAATAGAAATTTGGACATCAGTTCCACATATTTTTTTAGAAAATATCACACAAAACTTCCTTGACACTTGCCAATCTTTTGGCAATGCTAGTCGACGATTTTTTGTGGTCCAAATTCAATTGTTAAACTATAAAATAGAGAAAACCAGAATCCCCAAAGAAAGCCCAACACGGCAAAATTGTAAAATGTTGCAGGCTCGGTTTGATTGATCCGGCTCATGGACGGTACTAGAAAGTGCAAGTTACCGTTCACGCCCCCCTAGCACCGGCTTAAGCAGAATTCAACATTTAAACACAAAAATGGTGAAATTTTAAATTTAAAAACATAAATCTGGTGTAAAATAGAGAAACTTTCATCACCAGTCACAATATAAGAAAAACGGCGACTTTCATGTTTAGTAAACACTTTCAATATTTTAAGCGCATTCAACTCGCTCCTTCTGCTGGTTAGATGTTAGAAATATGGCAGTCATTCGCCTTACTTTCCAACGATTCTTCAGAATCGTACGAGATTTTGATATTCCTGCGATATTAGCTATACGGGTTAGTGAAAGTCGGGCATCGTTGTAAATGATACGCAAATTTTGTTAGTTAGGTGCATTTTCTTCATGACTTGCAGGCATCTTTTATTAACTCATGCCCATTTTTTAATGTATGCATACATCTCGGAACAGTTGCATAAGATATTATATTGCTGCCATGAATATTACAAATATCATTATAAACATTTAAAGCAGGTTTTCCTAGTTTTGCTCGAACTGTAATCCTGTATTTCAGCACTTTTCACTGAGTGTTTACCAGCCATATTTTACATATTTTACAAGAAGTTACTCGTGTAAGGTATTTCTAAATGAGAATAAAGTTCTTAATCGGTTGACTACATACACGTTTCATTTGAGATCAGATGCTTTGAAACATACCATAGTTTACACAAATACAACAATTACGAGCTAAATTAGAAAATATACTGAATTTTATATTGGCCCTTCCTCGTAAGTAAAATAGAGAAAATAAGAATCCCAAAAAGAAAGCCCAAAACGACAAAATTGAAAATATTGCAGGCTCGGTTTGAATAAGCTTGTTCATGGACGGCACTGTAAAGTGCAAACTACCGTCCACACCCCCTAGCACCGGCTTAAGCAGAATTCAACATTTAAACATGAAATGGTAATTTTTTTAATTTAAAAACATCCGCAGATGTGTTCATACGGTGGTTATTATGGAAACTTCAATGTGACACTTTCGTGTCATTCCATGAAAGCGGCGTATGGTCCCCAAGTTATAGAAAGCGCTTGTCCAAACGTGAAAACAATGGGCGGAACTAAATAAAATGGAATTTTGAAAGGTGATCAGAGGTTATGAAGCCTGCATATTACAGATAAGACGTCAAAAGTCAAAGTTAAAAAGCAGGCAACATATCCTAAGGGTGATTCAACATTATTTAAGACGGAATAATGGAACCACCCAACTAGAAAATGCCAAATATCTAAAACTAAAAATACCACAAGCACAACAATTATGTCGTGCTGAATAATCTTTTAAGGATCTAAAATAAAACATCTCTGATTGAATGTACGGGGCGACTTTTTACAGCCTCCACACGGCACAAAAAAAAACTCCTTCAGGGTGATTATTAAGGCAAAAGCTCTTACTATTAGGTATTTGTGAAAAGTTGTTGATACATGTTCTTTTTCTTGTCAGATTACTTCTGAAACGACAATTTTAATTCCATATTACTGTGGGATATTGATGAACTGGAATTTCATAATTTGCCATAATTTAAAATATTGCTAAAAGTTTCCATGTTTTCTGTGAATTATAATAATGGCATCAGACGTTAAAGTCACGAGTTGCAAGAAGGTCACCGATTTCTATTTAATACGACTTATGACTTAAGGGTTAAACATTAACCTCTCTTAAAAGATAAGAATTGTTTACAAGAAGGTCATCGTTTTCTATTTAATACGACTTATGACTTAAGGGTCAAACATTGCCCTCTCTTGAAAGATAAGAGTTGTTTACCTTATATCCTATTTTTAAGGCCCGTCTTGTATTGTGTTTCATGCTAAATATGTGTTAAACAACCTTAGGCCTGGTTTGAGAAATCTTAAACCGTAAGTCCTGCGTTGTCCTAGGTTTATCCCGCGTTATTTTACACATATTTATTGCTGCTTTATGTCTTGAATCTACATGACTGATCCTGAGTTGACGCACACCGTCAGGTGGCAACGTGCGATGTTTTATGTTCATATTTCTGCGTTGACGTGCTGACTTTTTTTACAACAAGTATTGCATACTTATGCAATGTGCTAGGACTGCCTTAACCCATACTCATAAATTAATATGAAACACACTGTCAATGCGAATTGATGTATTACAAAACAAAACATGACTGAACCAATATCTCTACTTATCAAATATCCTCTATCTGTGTTATGTTTTGAATTATCTATAAAAAACGATGACATCCCTTTCTTCGGTTGATTACGTAATACAAAATTATTATTTTGAAAAATAACAAGTTGATTCATTTACCCTTTTTTCTAAAAAAAGATTTTCAGAGTATATATGCGGGTTTCTTTTTCTTAGTGGAGTTTCTGTATATCTGCTAAAGGACGTAAGTATATGACTTGACGTTCCTTCCGGTCTGTAGTTGTAAACGCTGGTTGATATCGTAGACTTTTTACTCTTTACCTTTTTTCAGAATGATAATTAACCTCGATTTTATATGTTATAAAATTTCTTTAGTTTTTTATGAACTATTTCAACAACGATTATATGTGCTATATACATGGTATACATCTCTAGATAGATCTTGAGAAACTATATGTGCAATGTGCAAGAAAGGATCAAATAACATCTTCATAAGAAAACTAGCACTTGACAATATTATTCTCACAAATAACAAATATATATTAATATAAACAACAATAAAACAACTGTTTGCTCATCTTTACTTTGTGTAATCATGTTTTCTAAGGACATCAGAACATCGGAGGTTGTTTGCTTGTTTGAAAAAATTGAGTGATAGATATTTGATTACATTTATAGCTGTCATTTTCTTAGAAAGGCCGACAAACGCCATAATCCCGATCGTTAATACTTGGTTGCTGCTCGCTATTATGAGATATTGGCACGAAGATGTCCATAACGACTTGAGGGTAACTATCGCATAATAGGATGCGGCAACTAACCATGAGTAATCTATTACTTTTACACTTTAGTAATGTCTCGTCGGCCACAAAATAGCAGTCGTTCGTTACATTGACACTATCAGTGTTGTTTACAAAAAAGCAGAGGAAAGTATTTAGAAATTTGCTGATATCTAATTTTCGCATTCGTTTTCTTGGTGTCGATTAGTCGATATAATTTTTCAAATATTTTTAGTAAAATCAGATAGTTATTGCCATTATATGTATCGAACATGAAAGAGGTGTAAATGAATACAATGATACTTTTTACAAAATGTTGTTCTACTGGTTGCCGTTTTAGTTACACTGAAATTAACATGGTCATTTGTTGCTTTGCCGACCAATTTTCCCGAAACATTATTCTTTCATGCCTACAGTAATTCAACGTGAGTTTTATAAAAATTGGTTTGTCATTTAAACTTGAAAAGGACCGTGTTTTCTGCAATCATTACTTAACTTTATCTATCTTATTTGTAATTATGTAAACAATAAATATCAAAACGATTAATTTAATATATACGAGTATAAGAAAAAATACGAACGTATCAATTTAGGTTCTAATGTAAACCTGTTCACCTTTCCAACTACTTTTTGATCGTTCCTTACTCGTAAGATTGCATAAAAACCCAGTTTTATACTTCAATTGGAATATTCACTGTACTGTTACAACAATTTTCGGTAAGTGTTTGAAAAACAATTAACTAAAATTCAAGATTCAGAATGATTAATTTTGTATGAATGCATTTGATTTTACAGTTATTACTTATATACAGAAAATCATTATTGTTACGTATATAATCTCAAGTAAAATAAATAAAACATGCGTTGTATGCAGCATTAATTCTGTCTTCTTGTTTTAAACCTGAAGCTGTAAGGTCAATAATTCATAACTCGAGGGTCTTGTATGCACATAAATAAATACGGGTATATAATAATTCGAGGGTCTTGTATGCACATAAATATTTACGGGTGTATTCATTAACGTCATTTTTCCAAAAGTGAATATGAACGATTCTCCAACAGCACCCTTATAAAATTTACTGGACAAGGCAACTTTGTAATTAATGCATGCCAAGTTCACCATGTATAAAAACATCAATTCATGGATGATATTTACAGTAAACGTAATTCATTTAGACTGTATCGAAAGAAGTCATACCAAAATATAGCAACAAAGTATAAAAATTAAATTCATTGTAACCTTATTGGTTGTTTAAAATCAAGTAAAAGTATATTAACTAAGACAATACATTTCTGACTATCATATATTATATCCATTTTCAGTTTGGCAACAGACAATGAGGCTTTTTGTTCTAACGGCTTTACTTGTACCTTGTCTCTCAATACAAGAAGTAAGTATTTTAATCACTTAAATAGCAACGTGTTTAGAATTGCTTTTCATCACTGGTAACTCATATGTAACACTAGATATCATTCTCAAAATTTTCATTCGAGCTGATATAAATACTAACTTGCACATGATTTCAATAACAATTATTCATCCATAACAGATGGTCTGTTTAGCATGAGAAATTTGTATACAAGAGAAAAATAATGTGAGCAAACACTTTTGATTTATATTCATAAAAATTGTTTTACGCGTACAACACTGAAAAAAATAAAATAAAGTTTGCGTATATGAGTGAATATATCACATAATTATTTATTTAGAAAGAGATGTATTGAAAGTCTATTATGACTTTAAAGAAAAGTTGATAAAAAAAACTAAACTAAACAAAGTATCAACTAAACATTTTGAAAGAAGAATATTGAAGATATCAAATATTTATATAATAATAATAATAATAATAATAATAATAATAATAATAATAATAATGACGTACACCACTGTGATCCAGATTGAGTTATGACATATTCTAGCAAGGCACAAACAAATATTACAATGCATTACAAAATGTATCATAATTAAATTCAATAAGCAGGACTTTATCCACGGTTGCAGGTTTGGCAAATAAGAAAATAAATCATTGTACATGATAATCATTTTAACAAAGCCTTTTTATTTTGGAATTCTTAAGCACAACCCATTACTAAACATGTCTGTATGTACAGTATTACTAGAGTAAAATATTCATTTATATAAATAGTAGTAGAACCTGTATGTATTTAAACTGTTGCAACGTGCACGGGCTAGCTGTTACATATAAAAATTTTCTTATGGCTACTTTGCCAGTTGATTGGTTACAAATGATTATAAAATGATTTGTTCAAACTTTGGAATCAAGTTTAATAATATATTGTTTATAACAGTAACGTGCTTTTATAGTTGATGTGCTTTACTTGAACTTGATATAAAACTTAGGTGTCAATATTTTATTTAGGCTATTTTATATACAGAATTACACCTAAGGCAATGTTAAATTGATGCAATTGATATACTTCGTAAATAATGCAAGATTCCAAGTTATTAACTTCATGAGCATTTTGTGCAAAATGACTGTTTTCATTGAAAAGTCTCCCGTTACAAGTTGCTATAAAACTATAAAGACTGCTTCAATACTTATCAAACTTGGCACAAATGTTGACTGGACCATTGCCTTTGTAACAACATGTTCAGGCTTAAATTTCATGTTACCATTGCAACGGGGGGACATCTCAAAATTGCCAAATATCTCTATTTTGCGTTGATTTTTTTCATCAAAATTGATTTCAAAATGCTGCAACTTCTCAATGGATTGAGATAAAATCAAATGCTTTTCAGCGTTAGTTACACGTTACCTTATGATCGATCTGGGATCATTTTTAGCCTCTCAAAAGTCCAAAAGTTTCTTGGCGATGAGGGGGACTACCACCCCCTTCAAACCGCCCCAAACAGAAGGGGGCACATCCCCCTTCTGGCAACCCCCTGATTTATTATTTGGTTGGGGGCCACGCCGAAAAAGTGGTCACTTTTTTATCAACTTTTCTCAATAGAAAACATGTGTTTGGGGCCCAAACAGGAAATTCTTACACTATTTCAGGCCTAAAAGAGGGGGGGGGGTCGAAAGTACGTTGTTTCGCGTATATATTTATTGGGTTTATTTACTATCGCCACCGATATAAAACCATATGGGAGAGCATATGCTGCATTTATAATTGGGAAAATAACTATAATTTATTAAATATCTGCACATGTGGCTTAGTGAGTGCCATTAACTGACAATCCGCAGCTTTGAGCTGTATTTATACCCAATAAAGAAGTTGTATTTAATAATCGTTTACTGAAGTTGAGGAAATAAAGCATCCAAGAGATACTGATATTGGGTCGAACATTGGTCGACAAATTGCATTGAGTTTGAATGATTTTAAGGACGAATCGTTCTGATATTTTAGAAATAATAAAAATATGCCCGTTATATCAAATAATTGCTACAAATAAGTTGTTAAATCTAATAGTTTAATTTTCATGTATTTTTTACTTATTTATGAAAGATCAAACACAAGATAACAGATTTGTTTACAATTTAACTTACCGGCAATATAGGTATAAAACCACTAAATATCATCATAAAACCTAGGCAGAAGAAAACAATCGTCACACTGTGATGCTACTCTAATTACATTATCATAACATATATTTCAACAAGTAATCTTGTTTCACAGACCCACCATTTTGTTCACCTAACGGATGATGGAAGAACTATTCACCAGGATATAATATACGATAAGAACGAAAACACTCTTTTGGTCATCGTTGGAGATGTATCCATGTACAAGAATACAATCCCAACCATCAATTATCATGACTATGATACGGTAAGAGAGCACACAATACTTATTTCATAACTTAAGTTACAAATCAACATCACTTTCACAGATAAGTAATACTGAAGGTATATCAATTAGTCTATCAATACATAGAGGAAATATATGTTGTTGTTGTTTTTATAAATAAAGGATTTATGTTCATCGAGTGGAATAAAATAAACAATTCACGAGTGGCGGTATCGCCGAGTGAAATATGATTATTTTAAAGCAACGAGATAAAAATAAATCCCATATTTATAGAAAGAAGTTTGATTTCCTCTTTGTTATACATCTTTTCTTTTTTTAGCTCATTAATTATTTAAAAGATTTCCTATTATTTCTTTTTTTTGCTGACTTTAGAAGAAAGAAGTCCAAGACAACAGTGAAATACGGAAACTATGTTTCATTGTATTGAAAAATAATTTTGCTTTAAGTGAAAATACGAAAAATGAAAATATGCATTTTATGTCATCAATGTTTCATTTAAAAGTATTTAATGAATCTGTTTTATTACATCTTAGGGATATGTTGTTTTCAAAGACATCAAACATCAAATGTGTTCCTTGTCAAGGGTACCAATCCCAAAACTATCTCTTGAAATGTATAGACAGGTTTGTACCTACAGTAATAATATTTTTATGCACGTTTAAAAGAGTACACATGGTATGTTCGTGACATTTTCCATGATCTGATAGGCGAAATAGGAGATAGCATTTGCTGCCTTTTATTATGAACAGATCACTTTGCACATTGTGAATAATAACTTTTGTGGTTTTTTTATATATTAGAATGATTTAATCATAGAAATTTTCCAATCATGTTGTTAAAGTGACATTTTGCTCATTTTTTCATTGTCAACTTGAGTTGAATTGATTATATGTTTCAAAAGATTGATTGTTAAAATGATGAGTGACCAAAAGTAAATATTGTAATATTTCTATGATTAAATAGAAATCTGCGTAGAATACACAAAGATTGTCCACTCTATTACAAATTGGACGTTACCAGTTAAATCCAATGGATATTAACAGAAATTTCCTTGAGCGACGCGAGTTGTCATTTATATGCGGAGTAAATTATTTAATCGAAAGCAATCGTGGCAAAATGAAATCTTATGTTCACTCACTGTATACCATAGGATAGGCATAATGTCACTTTAATAAAATCTTGTTAATTATAGGGTGTGTCAAATGAAACACTGCGATTCACGTCTCGGTATAATCCAACTCCACTAACGTACTCAGAAGTTAAAGAGACAGCAGGAATAAAGATTGCAGAATTTTGCAAAGATTATGATACATTTTTCCGAACACTGATTCCAAACCAGAAAGTCAAAAGAAGTGGTAAGAATACTAAGATGTGTTCTCTTTTCAAGTCATTCAATGTAGTTAATCGTTTATATTCATTATTTAAAGAGTGCTTTTGACAGGAAACAACTTCATGCAAGAACAGAAAAATATTATACATTTATAAGACATATTACATAGAAAAACATATTTGGTCAGAAACAAAGTTTTAAATTTGTATGTATTTTTGATCTTTTGTTGAAGAATCCCTTCTGACATAACACAAATAGTAAGCTTTGACAATTACGAACATAATTATGATCTTTCTGCTTGCATGGGATTGATTTTACTTCTCACTGAATTCATATAACAAATTCTAAATTCATAGAATAATTACGCAACAATAAATGCCTTATACCGATTCAAGTAGATATCATTTAGAGATAACAATAAAATTGAGAATAATTAATTAGTTTCTGGAATAGAATATCAGTGGAAAACCAAATAAAATGGCATACAAATTATTTCAATATATTTACAACTTAGAGGATCACAATTCAAAATAGCTGAATAAAATAAAACAATATTAAATAAAACAGGGAATAATTTGGCAAAGCCAGAAGAATATCATAAAACAAATTCTACTTACCAAAATATCAAAAACTGTACTTAAACGTACTATTTTAAAAAAAACATGTTTGAAATTAAAGTTATTAACTATTAATTTGCGGCAAAGATAAGTACATTTATAAGAATTCTGTTATATTCAATAAAGTTAAATTACGTCTGCAAGTAAATTCTTCAAATTATTCTTTTATAAGAGAATACCAAATATCTTTTTACCTTTACGACACTTTTACAGGTTAATCACTAATATAATTTTCTTCTTTATGCTGAGAGCTTTTTTTGAGAGCTTCATGTTTTGTTATGCTTAATTTTCTTATACAACATAACAGCCATGCTAGTAATGCCAATTATATTCAAAGCTTATTGCTAACAGCTCTTATTTAAGTCTTTGGTCCAATCAATTTTTTTTCCGGATTGTTGGAAGATCCCTTATTCTAGGCTCTACAATGTATTTAACAACCAAGGTCTGAGTTACTGTTAACGTTGTATAATTCATCACTTTGAAAATGAACTGGTATTACTTCGTGTTCATAGCACTTGCTTAGTAAATGTACCAGACTGACCCTCACGTTTTTGCATTTACATATATCATAAAAGTTACCAAAGTTCTGGGTGGGGAATAGTTCTGGGTGGGGAATAAAGAGAAGCAAAATACAAATTATTTTTTTACTATTATGTTTGTTTTGTTTGATTGGGTTTTACATCACACCGACACAGTATATGTCATTAGGCGACGTTCCAGCTCTACTGGTGGAGGAAGACCTCAGGTGCCCTTCCGTGCATTATTTCAGGCACGCACGGGCACCCGAGTAGAACCACCGACGTTCCGTATGCTAGCTGGATAGCTTCCTCACTTTACTTTTATGTAAAAATATAATGGCCTGGGGCTGCATTTCGGGTTTCCTCCACAGAAAGTATTCTCGGCCTTACGGTCTCGTTCAACTTCTGTAGATGCAGACCCCCTATGTAGCAAAACGCCACAGTATATTTCCACGTAACAATCTTGTCGCTATTCTATAACAATTACATTCTGTCTTGTGCATATGTTGTTTACCTAGGACGACCACCGCTCTGTTAATGTGCTACATTACCTTTAAATTGGTAACATGTCTCTGCTCATGTAATAGGCGAGGCTGTAATCGGATGGAACAGTGGCCCTTATTAAACCTGAGTAGATATAAGAATACATGTATATTTTCTTGAATGTAATTACATATAAAAACAGTCAGGTGTCTATATAAAAAATAATATTAGTTGTTATCTGGAAGTTATATATAGTTGGAAAAGTGTTTAAACTCCGGGGTTAGCTTGTAATCCCTAAAGTGTTCTAAATACATGAGTCTATATACGATGAATAAAAATTTGATTAAAAAAGAGTTTCAAGTAAAATATGAAATGAACGAGTCCGCAAATAAGGGAAAGCACTGTCGATATAAGATATAAACTTGCACCAAAATAGAGAAAATATGAACCCAAAACGGCAAAATTGAAAACGTTACAGGGTCGGTATGATTGAGCATGTTCATGGACGGTACTTGAAAATGCAAACTACCGTCTATGACAACCCCCGCCCAACACCGAAGAGTTCAACATTTAAAATTTAACATGAAATGGTAAAACATATTAAAACACTTTCATTAGGTCTACTCTATTATTATGCAATAAAAAAGAGATCCCCAACTGAGACTTCGACCTACAATTTCTTGCACATGAACATTTTACCTGTACACCACAAAATAATCTGAATGTCACAAAGTGAGGAATTGCAACTTCGTGTATTATGTTAAAATATATCAAGATACGCTCTGTTCTGTGCTGACTTTTTAACTTGGAGCTAATTCAATATGTTACATGTTTCATTTTTCAGGAGTAAATGCAGAGGCACCATGTAAGCATATTTTATATATATAAATCTTCTTTGTTTGATAAACAATCATGTTTGTTTTAAGTAGACATAATTTAATTAATTCTGCTTAAAATCTAAAATAATTACACACTGATAATACAAACAAGCCCCCCCCCCCTTCTTTGGAGGGCGATCGTTGCCAAAATTCCAGACATGTAATGTGTTTCTTTTGAAAACTACTTTTGAAAATGCGAACGTGTATGTCTAGCATTTTTTATTGTATTTGTGCACAGCAAATGATATGCCTCTAAATCCAATCTTTTAATTGAAGGTACCCGCTTTTAAATAACGAGTTTACATGTAAATCTTAACAACTGACCTAACATCGAGAACAACAACAAATTCACAAGTTCGTATCTTCCATTGCATATAATACATAAGCATGTTTGCACACTTGTAGATATCTATATGTGCCTGCAAAATACAAATGAAATGTAAAACTCTAATACAGAAAATAGAATTTAATAAAACGTGTTTCCAGTCGTAGAACTACAACAGTACCTTTACACAGTAACATGTTTAAAATGACAAAAGTAGATTCACAAAGTTAAACGATTTTAAGTCATGCATGACGCCCCACCCCTCCCTGAGTATTTACGATCTTCTATTACGGAAATGTACGGACAGGTCGCCTCTTTCCTATTTCTCAACAAAGTGAAGGAAAACAAGGCGTTACTTTCTAACTAGAGAAAATAAGAATCCCTAAAGAACGTTCAAAAAGACAAAATTGAGAATGTTGCAGGCTCGGTTTGATTGAGCCTGTTCATGGACGGTAATGGAAAGTGCAAGTTACCTTCCACGCCCCCTAGCACCGGCTTAAGCAAAATTCAACATTTAACATGAACTGGAACAATTTTGAATTTTGAAACATCCGCAGATGTGTTAATAT